GCTAGAAATCATTAACCATGCTCGCACTCTCTCTTAAACACAGTCTATTTCAACATTAGATGTAAAATTTTAATTTGATACTATACTTTTTAATATGGTATATGTCTCACTGAAATTAGATTTATATATCAAATGTGTCACTGTGAATGTGCCGTTTACTGTTGTATCTTGGTGTGGGATGACAAAACACTTTACTATAGCTATATTTCACTATTGTAACAATCATCATGAAGATTAGGTCTGCAGATTTGCATTTCCCATGTGGATCTATAACTTAAATAAACTCTAACTTAAATGTATCTGAAGTGGCTTTATTATGAACTCTTTGTGGTTTGCTCTGTAACAATCAATTCCAATACTGCTGCGATTTTTACTCTACTTTAACCCCTTAAGGACCAAACTTCTGGAATAAAAGGGAATCATGACATGTCACACATGTCACGTGTCCTTAAGGAGTTAAAGCTGACCTGCTACTTTTAGGGGTCTTTGCATATTTTGATATCTCTGGTTAGGTTCAGGCGACTGAAGGGTAAAGTGGAAGGAGGTTTAATTAGCTGAAATTAATCCATCTTCTTCCTCTAGGTGCTAGGTCTTCTTCGGCCCCTAGTGCTTTATTTGTCAGGAGCCGCGTCAGTGCAGTAACTCTACTGAGGTCTACAGAGGATCCTGTGAGACCAGGAGTCTCTGTAGATGATGTCTTGTGATGAACAAGACCATCAGTGATTCCAGCATCCATCACTTGTGCTGGCTGCTGGTATTTGACAAAAGGAACTGTGCTGGTGGAACTGTACAGGTTATCAACCTCAAATTTACCATAAAACAAAATAGTCCTATTGGAGAGTGTACCTTTAAGAAAGCACTAGTCAAACCATCCCCATATTAAAACAATAGTGGTAACTTTCTAAAAAACTGAAATCCATTGGTAATTTTCAAATAATACAGCTTAAACTAAATTAAAAGTCTTGCATTATTACACACCGCTTATCCCAGCTGTGGGGAATTAAATTCAAAGTTCTTTTTTCTTAGACATTGACAAACTGACAGTGTTGATGGTCCAGATAATGGAAGTACTCCAGAAAATCAAACCAGGTGCTCGTTTGGTTTGCAAATTTAACACAGCTGAAATGATTTTCACAGCTGGTGTACCCATCACACTGTGAAATTAATAATCTTTAACTGTACATAAAAGATATCCATTATTTCTATACCGCTAAGTACCATTTTCTAAATAATAGCTTAATTTTCTTATTTGCATTTTATTAATGAAACTATAGTTACCTTGACCATATACATGCTAGAAATAAAATAAAGCCACCTTCTCATTAGAAATGTATTGAAATTATGGATATGATTTAAGTGATTTAAGCAACATAATAATGTCCTTTTATTTTATTTGAATTATTTTAATATAGGATAGTGATGTCCCGAACGGTTCGCCACGGACGGCGAACATATACGCTGTTCGTAAAACAAAAGGTGAAGCGCTACATACAGATCGAAATCCAATTCTTTAGTTGTTACTCTTGCAAAACAGTGGTGTGTAAATTTATTTCTGAAAGAGAAATTAAATGTTCATAATGCAACACTGTAAATATAGAATTATTACAATCGTAGCTCTATATAAGGAACCACTCACATATTACTGAGCTTACGGCCAAGCTCAGGGGTATACGCCTTCAGGTCCGTCAAGGCGACCTTTCCCCTTCTTGTATCCAAAAAGCGACACCCACGTAGTGGCTAGAGCTCAAACAGAAGTATATATAGTGCAATATAGTCTAAAATCCGTATTGATATAGACAGTATGTGTATATATACTCACAAATGTGGAGCCTCTCTCTTAGGCTCTTTTTCAGCGCGTTGTGTAGTTAAGGACTACACACCTATATAGTAGGAACCAATAGCCCAATAAAATTCAAATATTTATTAAGGTATACTGAATTAAAAATTCTAATGGCCAATTAGAATGCATAAAAACAAAGTATATATAAAAGAAATAGTTATAACAGTAATATAAATTGTATAACAACAATGGGCATAAAGGTGATGATATTAAAGTCCCCAGAACGCGTTTCGCCAAAATACTATCGGCTTCATCAGCTAGGTCAATATAATCCTCCTTCTATCTGGAGTCCTGATATTATACCTTGTCCTTGATTTTGAGTACGGCGTTCAGCTGTCTTTTGGCGCGCTGGTATTACCTCCTCTCCTCGTCCGGTATTGTATGCGTATCAGGCCTCCTTTTCGTTGCGGTTCACTTCCGCGTATGACGTCATACGTCAATCCTGCGTTCTCCCTGTATGCGTTTCAAGCCTCCTTTTCGTTGCGGTTCACTTCCGCGTATGACGTCATACGTCAATCCTGCGTTCTCCCTATCGAGTGTTCATTTGTATTCATACCAGGGTTACAGGCATAAAGGAGAGATGACAGTCTCAGGGGAAATCTCCATATTGCACAAAGTCTCCCCCTCACAGAAAAACCACACATTAATCAATACCATATAGTAAAAAGTGAGAATAAAAAATAAAAACACAAAAAAACTCTAAACTATAAAAATCTTCCCAATAAAAAGCCTCAGCAGCATACACAGTATATCATAGGAACAATTAAAAATGCTATTCTATTTGTGAAAATTGATTTTAGAAGTGCATATCAACATTAAGCAATGAATATATATAACTCTAGTACAAAAAAAAAAAAGGGTTTAATTTAAAAAGTGCCAGATTTCAAATTCAGAATTTAGACCATAGGGGATGAGAGTGTTAAGTTCAAAAATCCATTTCATCTCTTCTTTACTGAGTTTCTGATTAAAATCTCCTCCCCTCCAATCTTTTTCCACTCTCACTAATCCTAAAAATAGGCTACCTAGTGGAGATTGATTATGATGTATTTTATAATGGAGGGGTACACTATGATTCTCTCCTCCTTTAATTATATTTCTACTATGCTCCTCGATCCTAACATGGAGTGGTCGAGTCGTTTTCCCCACATAATTTAGTCCACAGGGAAATTGCATTACGTAAATGACATTGTTTGTATGGCATGTGATTCCTTCTCTAATTTCATATTCTTTCTTCTCTTTACTCATGAAGTGTGTGATTTTTCTTCTTTTATTTCCTGTTCTCCTACACGCTAAACAATAACCACAGCCAAAAACCCTTTTTCTCGCTGAAAGAATGTATCATTACTTTTCTTTTCTCTAATAAAACTGGATGTAAGAATACTTCGTAAGTTCCTTACTCCTCTGTGGATAAACTGAGGTTGTGGCGGTAATATTTCCTCTAACACTGGATCCTGGCGTAAAATAGGCCAGAATCTTTTTATAATATTCCTAATCTTAAAATTTTCAGAGCTAAAATTGCAAATGAATGGCACTCCTTCCATATTCTGATGTATACGATTTTGATATCTCAGGAGCTTGTTTCGTTCTATCTCCTTAACTTGTTCCCTTGCTTCTTCTAATTTTTTATCTTCGTATCCCTTTTCTAAAAAATCCTGTTTAATCTTCATTGACTGTTTATTGTAATTCTCCAAATCTGTACAGTTTCTCCTAATACGTAAAAATTGCCCTCTAGGGGCATTCTCCAACCATGGAGTAAAATGGCAACTTGCCTTTTCAATAAAACTATTCGCATCTACTGCCTTAAAATGATTTTTCGTCTTAATTTTCCCTTCTTCTATAAAAATGGTCCAATCTAAAAAAGATATTTCTTTCTCACTCCAAGTACTAGTTAGATTAATCCCCCATGTATTGAAATTTAAAAAAGCTAAAAATTCTTCCAAAAGAGGGGCTCCTCCTTTCCAAATGAAGAAGATGTCATCGATGTAACGGCCATAGGAGGCCAAGTTCGCACCCCAGCCATGTCCTTCATATATAAAATGTTTTTCCCAATATGACATAAACAAATTGGCATAGCTGGGGGCGAACTTCGTCCCCATGGCCGTCCCATTCATTTGCAAAAAATATTCTCCACTATACCAAAAATAATTATTTTCCAGGATCAATCTTATGCCCTCTAAAATATACTCTATTTGGGTCTCCAAAAAATCTGAATTATTCCTTAAAAAATGAGCTACTGCTCTACACCCGTACTCATGAGGTATGTTGCTATATAATGACGCTACGTCACACGTTACTAATAAAGAATTCTCCTCCCATATACAGTTATTTAGCATATTTAATACTGCTATGGTATCTTTTATATAAGATTTCGTATTTTGTACCAGGGGTTGGAGTTGTAAATCTATATAGTGTGAGAGTCTGCTAGAAATTGCATCTATCCCCACCACTATTGGCCTACCAGGGGGATTAGTGATGCTTTTATGTATTTTTGGTAAAAAATAAAAAACTGGGACTTTCGGGTATATAATATTAATAAAATCGAATTCTTTTTGACTTAATATTCCTATATCTAGCCCCCTTTTCAGAAAGTTCCTAAATTTATCCTGGATCTCCAGACAAGGATTAACTGTCAATTTTTTATATGTCACTCCTTCTGTCAAAATTCTTATAGCTTCCTTATTATAAGATTCTTTAGTCATAATGACTATACCCCCCCCTTTGTCTGCTGGCTTTATAACTAAATCGTCTCTATTTTTCAAGTCTCTAAGGGCTTTTTTTTCCTGTATGTTTAAATTGTCCTGAAAATTTTCTTTAAGATCTAATTTTTTACATTCATTAAGAACCATAGTCTCAAATGTAATCATTTTATCACTTATCATCTGTTTAGGAAAAAAATTTGATTTCTTTTTAAGATTCGTGTGTTTAAATTCATTCTCCATCTGTATCTGCCTTTCCATAGGATTTTTTATAAAAAATTTCTTAAGGCAAAGGTTCCTCTTAAATTTATTTAGATCTACATATATATCAAAAGGATTAATATGTTTACTCGGGGCAAATTTTAACCCTTTTTTAAGGATCTTAATTTGTTCTTTGGTTATTTCCATTCCACTTAAATTGTATATTCCCAATTTACTGGGATCCCCATTTAATTCACTATCTTCTAATCTTTTTCTTTCCTTTCTCTCTTGTCTTTCTTTGACTGATTTTCCTCCTCTCTTTCCTCTTGAAACGAATACCTTCGTCTCTTGAGGTTTGGGGGAAAATCTCTCCTTTGTTCTTCCTTGTGTCTTTCTATAATTCGACTCCTCCAAAAATCCTGTTCCCCTTCTCTATTCTCCAAGGCTTGATACTGATTATACACTCTTAAGGGTTCTCTGGTTTGGGGCTGGTGTCTTTCTCTATCTCTCCTCTGTGTAGTTCTCTCGTAATAGGGGGACTGATCAGAAATCCTTTCTCTCTCCCCCTGTAATCTATTGCTCCTTCTTTCATTTCCATCCCTTCGTTTATCTCTAAAACTAACTCTCCGAGATCTAAAGTAAGGTTTATATTCATAATTGTTCCTCCATTCTTTCTTTTCATATTTATTTTCCACCTTCCTCTCAGTCTGTTTTTTCTCCAGAACATCTTTATAGGTTCTTTGAGGTATAGGATTTTGCCTATATCTGGGTTCATATTGAGTATAAAGAGGAAAATTTTGTCTCAAATTTTTATATTTGTCCATCTCCCTATAGTTCTCATCTCTAAATTGTCCTTGATGCTTAGAAAAGGATCTTACTTGTTTGTTTTTATAATCTCTTTTATCCCTCAAATATTTATTTTTCTTTATTTCTACTACCCCTCTCTCTACTTTATCCAAATTATCCTTAATCTCCTGTGTTATGCAATCAAATTCTTCCTGATTTAACGCATTCAGGATTTCATCCTGACATTTATTTATTTCCACATCTAACTCTTTTAGGTTTTCTCTCCTTCTTTTAATAATAAGTTGCATAGTAGTGAAGGAAAAACCTTCCAACATACTGTACCATTCTTCCATAAAGCCCATATGTTCCTGATCAAATGTGGGCATTTTAAAATATCGTAAACCTCTTGGGGTAATCTTTTCCCCTATATATTTTTCCAGTGTGGCTATCTCCCATTTTATTTTTAATTCCTTTTGTAGGAGTTTATCCAATTTCTCACTGGTTTTATTGGGTTCAGTTATTCTTTTATTGTTCTCTGGTCTCTCCACCCAATTGGCAAATTCAATCGCCATTTCTCTATGTATGTTGTTTCTTTTGTCAAATAGAGACATTTTCTCAAATAGCCGCCTTGTATATATAGGAAAGAACAAATTATGTACAAATAGAAAATAGTAATATACTGGCGCTTTATACAAAACCTAATTATCACACGTTATATAACAATATTCATATAATAGCTGCTATATCACCATGTGTAATCTTTCCTTATACACTAATCATAAACATATACATAAAACAAAAGGTGAAGCGCTACATACAGATCGAAATCCAATTCTTTAGTTGTTACTCTTGCAAAACAGTGGTGTGTAAATTTATTTCTGAAAGAGAAATTAAATGTTCATAATGCAACACTGTAAATATAGAATTATTACAATCGTAGCTCTATATAAGGAACCACTCACATATTACTGAGCTTACGGCCAAGCTCAGGGGTATACGCCTTCAGGTCCGTCAAGGCGACCTTTCCCCTTCTTGTATCCAAAAAGCGACACCCACGTAGTGGCTAGAGCTCAAACAGAAGTATATATAGTGCAATATAGTCTAAAATCCGTATTGATATAGACAGTATGTGTATATATACTCACAAATGTGGAGCCTCTCTCTTAGGCTCTTTTTCAGCGCGTTGTGTAGTTAAGGACTACACACCTATATAGCAGGAACCAATAGCCCAATAAAATTCAAATATTTATTAAGGTATACTGAATTAAAAATTCTAGTGGCCAATTAGAATGCATAAAAACAAAGTATATATAAAAGAAATAGTTATAACAGTAATATAAATTGTATAACAACAATGGGCATAAAGGTGATGATATTAAAGTCCCCAGAACGCGTTTCGCCAAAATACTATCGGCTTCATCAGCTAGGTCAATATAATCCTCCTTCTATCTGGAGTTCTGCTATTATACCTTGTCCTTGATTTTGAGTACGGCGTTCAGCTGTCTTTTGGCGCGCTGGTATTACCTCCTCTCCTCATCCGGTATTGTATGCGTATCAGGCCTCCTTTTCGTTGCGGTTCACTTCCGCGTATGACGTCATACGTCAATCCTGCGTTCTCCCTGTATGCGTTTCAAAGAACAAATTAAGATCCTTAAAAAAGGGTTAAAATTTGCCCCGAGTAAACATATTAATCCTTTTGATATATATGTAGATCTAAATAAATTTAAGAGGAACCTTTGCCTTAAGAAATTTTTTATAAAAAATCCTATGGAAAGGCAGATACAGATGGAGAATGAATTTAAACACACGAATCTTAAAAAGAAATCAAATTTTTTTCCTAAACAGATGATAAGTGATAAAATGATTACATTTGAGACTATGGTTCTTAATGAATGTAAAAAATTAGATCTTAAAGAAAATTTTCAGGACAATTTAAACATACAGGAAAAAAAAGCCCTTAGAGACTTGAAAAATAGAGAAGATTTAGTTATAAAGCCAGCAGACAAAGGGGGGGTATAGTCATTATGACTAAAGAATCTTATAATAAGGAAGCTATAAGAATTTTGACAGAAGGAGTGACATATAAAAAATTGACAGTTAATCCTTGTCTGGAGATCCAGGATAAATTTAGGAACTTTCTGAAAAGGGGGCTAGATATAGGAATATTAAGTCAAAAAGAATTTGATTTTATTAATATTATATACCCGAAAGTCCCAGTTTTTTATTTTTTACCAAAAATACATAAAAGCATCACTAATCCCCCTGGTAGGCCAATAGTGGTGGGGATAGATGCAATTTCTAGCAGACTCTCACACAATATAGATTTACAACTCCAACCCCTGGTACAAAATACGAAATCTTATATAAAAGATACCATAGCAGTATTAAATATGCTAAATAACTGTATATGGGAGGAGAATTCTTTATTAGTAATGTGTGACGTAGCGTCATTATATAGCAACATACCTCATGAGTACGGGTGTAGAGCAGTAGCTCATTTTTTAAGGAATAATTCAGATTTTTTTGGAGACCCAAATAGAGTATATTTTAGAGGGCATAAGATTGATCCTGGAAAATAATTATTTTTGGTATGGTGGAGAATATTTTTTGCAAATGAATGGGACGGCCATGGGGACGAAGTTCGCCCCCAGCTATGCCAATTTGTTTATGTCATATTGGGAAAAACATTTTATATATGAAGGACATGGCTGGGGTGCGAACTTGGCCTCCTATGGCCGTTACATCGATGACATCTTCTTCATTTGGAAAGGAGGAGCCCCTCTTTTGGAAGAATTTTTAGCTTTTTAAAATTTCAATACATGGGGGATTAATCTAACTAGTACTTGGAGTGAGAAAGAAATATCTTTTTTAGATTTGACCATTTTTATAGAAGAAGGGAAAATTAAGACGAAAAATCATTTTAAGGCAGTAGATGCGAATAGTTTTATTGAAAAGGCAAGTTGCCATTTTACTCCATGGTTGGAGAATGCCCCTAGAGGGCAATTTTTACGTATTAGGAGAAACTGTACAGATTTGGAGAATTACAATAAACAGTCAATGAAGATTAAACAGGATTTTTTAGAAAAGGGATACGAAGATAAAAAATTAGAAGAAGCAAGGGAACAAGTTAAGGAGATAGAACGAAACAAGCTCCTGAGATATCAAAATCGTATACATCAGAATATGGAAGGAGTGCCATTCATTTGCAATTTTAGCTCTGAAAATTTTAAGATTAGGAATATTATAAAAAGATTCTGGCCTATTTTACGCCAGGATCCAGTGTTAGAGGAAATATTACCGCCACAACCTCAGTTTATCCACAGAGGAGTAAGGAACTTACGAAGTATTCTTACATCCAGTTTTATTAGAGAAAAGAAAAGTAATGATACATTCTTTCAGCGAGAAAAAGGGTTTTTGGCTGTGGTTATTGTTTAGCGTGTAGGAGAACAGGAAATAAAAGAAGAAAAATCACACACTCCATGAGTAAAGAGAAGAAAGAATATGAAATTAGAGAAGGAATCACATGCCATACAAACAATGTCATTTACGTAATGCAATGTCCCTGTGGACTAAATTATGTGGGGAAAACGACTCGACCACTCCATGTTAGGATCGAGGAGCATAGTAGAAATATAATTAAATGAGGAGAGAATCATAGTGTACCCCTCCATTATAAAATACATCATAATCAATCTCCACTAGGTAGCCTATTTTTAGGATTAGTGAGAGTGGAAAAAGATTGGAGGGGAGGAGATTTTAATCAGAAACTCAGTAAAGAAGAGATGAAATGGATTTTTGAACTTAACACTCTCATACCCTATGGTCTAAATTCTGAATTTGAAATCTGTCACTTTTTAAATTAAACCCTTTTTTTTTTTTTTGTACTAGAGTTATATATATTCATTGCTTAATGTTGATATGCACTTCTAAAATCAATTTTCACAAATAGAATAGCATTTTTAATTGTTCCTATGATATACTGTGTATGCTGCTGAGGCTTTTTATTGGGAAGATTTTTATAGTTTAGAGTTTTTTTGTGTTTTTTATGTGTTTATTATCACTTTTTACTATATGGTATTGATTAACCCCTTAAGGACGGAGCCAAATGTACACGTTGTGAACGAAACAAAATGTAAACAAAACCTGGCATTTGCGCTACATGTCTGTCCAACCGTAATACACCTCTTTCATAGTAAATGCACCCACCCTTATTATATATCATTTTATTCAGGGGAAACAGGGCTTTCATTTAATATCAAATATTTAGCTATGAAACATAATTTAATATGAAAAAATGGGAGAAAATACGATTTTTTTTGATTTTTTTAGTTCTACATGACATTTTAACGGTCAGTGTCATAATACTGTTTGCTTTTACTGCAATAAAATACACATATTTGTATTCAGCAAAGTCTCACGTGTAAAACAGTACCCCCTATGTACAGGTTTTATGGCGTTTTGGGAAGTTACAGGGTCAAATATAGCACGTTACATTTAAAATTGAAATTCGCCAGATTGGTTATGTTGCCTTTGAGACTGTATAGTAGCCCGGGAATGAAATTTACACCCATAATAGCATACCATTTGCAATAGTAGACAACCCAAGGTATTGCAAATGGGGTATGTCCAGTCTTTTTTAGTAGCCATTTGGTCACAAACACTGGCCAAAGTTAGCGTTAGTATCTGTTTGTGTGAAAAATGCAAAAAAACGCCAATTTTGGCCAGTGTTTGTGACTAAGTGGCTACTAAAAAAGACTGGACATACCCTGTTTACAATACCTTGGGTTGTCTACTATTGCAAATGGTATGCCATCATAGGGGTAATTTTCATTCTTGGGCTACCATAGGGTCTCAAAGGCAACGTAACCAATCTGGCGAATTTTAATGTGAAAAAAATGAAACACAAGCCTTATATTTGACGCTGTAACTTTTGAAAACACCATAAAACCTGTACATGAGGGGTACTGTTGTACTCGGGAGACTTCGCTGAACACAAATATTTGTGTTTCAAAACAGTAAAAAGTATTGCAGCAATAATATCATCCGTGTAAGTGCTGTTTGTGCGTGAAAAATGCAAAAAACTTCACTTTTACTGGCGATATCATTGTTGTAATACATTTTACTGTTTTGAAACACTAATATTTGTGTTCAACGAAGTCTCCCGAGTAAAACAATACCCCAATTTACAGGTTTTATGGTGTCTTGGAAAGTTATAGGGTTAAATATAGTGCTAGCAAATTAAATTCCCTATACTTTCGGCATGGGTTGTCAGGCAGGTCCCGCTAATTGTAATTAATTAGGATACCTAATTATGTAAAAATATTACATAAATATA